GCTGCCACCAGTTGTCGGCATCCCCTAACCCTCCAGGTGCCTATAGGTACTTACTGTCTAGGTCCCTAGGGGCTTTAGTGCCCTATATGTAGGGGGATCATGACCGTCATCGTCATCAGCATCGTCGCCATCGTTCTCATCGGCATAGTCAACATCATGAGTGTCATGTCTATGACCGATGCAGACTGTGCGAGCCTGGCAGTGGTTGATGGCAGACATGAGCTACTCGCTCGAACAAACTAAGACTCGAGTCGGAACCCGGAATTTAGTCAGAGGCACTCTGATACGTGGTACTGCCAAACGCAATAGATGCTGTGTGTAAGTGTAAGGCTTGTAGGCTTCTTTAGTCCTAGTCGACTGCGCTGTCGGAAGCTCCGTCAAGCATTGAGCACAGTAGCCAGGCTCCAGCCTCCACAGCAACCTGTGTGGTTCAGGATCCTCCCTCAACTATAGAACTGATCATCCTGCATAAGACGGCTACTTGTTAGAAGGCCTGGCCCAAACACGTCAAACAAGTCCCTCATGCACGGGCCTCAACAATTAGAGTATCTTTCGGGGGGGAGCATAAAACCAACTACAATAGGAACTTTAAGCGGACCCGACTATGCAATATTCCCACCCCTGACCAAACATATTGCTGGCTGCGCCGACGCGCAATGCTGAATGTTTTAAATTTCTTACACATAGTGTGGGTGGCGCATGGCGGACTTTAAAACCCAAACATATTATGCGAATCTTCCGACCCCTTGAAAAAGCCCAAAGACTTTGATACGAGTAGCTACTTTCCGGTATAATCCCTAAACCCTATTCTACTTACTCAGGCCCCAAAAGCTTGAGAAACCCCAAAAACTCAAAATGCCTCTGTAGGTCGTAGGAAAAATCCACCAACGAAACCCCATGGAGGTACCTTGGTTCTCCGCTTGTGCGCAGCGGCGCATCTGGCACGGCAACAGGCATTCTGAGAAGCATACTACATTAAAACGGGATATAACAAAAACACATCAATCTGTGTATACATATACGATAGATACTGAAAAGCAGCAGAACATTAAAAAATAGACTGCTAATGATGGCGACGACGCTGTTGTTATTGAGGATGATGATGGTCATGGCGGGTGATTTTTACGATCCATGGCGGCAACGATGAAAGCCAGGATTCATACATGACGATGCATTTTAGTTACAGTTGTGTCGGTGATAGTGACGGCAGGGACGATGGTCACGATGTGATTGACAAAGCTTGTTGCTGTTAGTCCTTCGGTTTGTAATCAGGATGAGGGTCGCGAAAACAAGTAAGATCACCATCGCCCAACGTGTGCCCGTGTGTGCAGCAAGTCCCGTCGTTGATTGACCGCTGCAGTGCTGCCAGTGTTTTCTCCCGTGGTCGTCCGTCGTAGATGTTGTTGCTGATGGCGCAGGTGCCGACTGAATGCTGGTGTTCGCACTTGTTGGTTACTGCTGCAGTTCATGCTGACTAATGCTGAATGCCGTTCTACATGCACACGATGCAGCCGAACCAGGACAAGTATCTTCGACGAGCCGTGTGTGCAAAAACAGTCGGATGATTCGCTATGGAAAACTTCTGCTAAACATTTTGCCAGAATGACGAATACAGGAGCTTTACACTCTAGAACAGGGTCTTGTAGCATATATACAAGGAGATACTCTTACTCGTTACTCACAATTCCACTCAGGCAGACTCTTGCATCGCTGCCCACGCTTGGTAAGATGGTTCCTGTCCGTTCCTTCGAAGCTTTGTGGGACGCTTCCTTCTGTCAGATTTGTGTGGGTAGCTTCCGACCCTGCAGTGCAAAATGCAAAATCCTGAGCCCCTAGACCCTAAACCCTGAACCCTAAAACTTGGTAATTATTTTAGGCCCCTATATTACTTCCCACTCTTCCCGTAATCCAGAGTTTAGGGCTGAAGGTTGTTGAAACAGAGCCTCTGACCTTCGATCTCCCTTGCCTTCCCCCCCTCCCACCAGCCTGTGCTACTCTTGTTCCCCGGTGAGCCACAAGGGAGCGAGTCGTCCAACCACCCGCCCCGAAAAACGCTGCGGGGAATCGATCCCACATGTACAGATCGCATCAGCATGCAAGGGATAAACTGCGACTCATGCCGATGAACTGCCGATCTTTCCGATCATCTGCCCTTGTTGCAGAATCCTCCTTCACATCTGCACTCTTATGTGTCTGTTCTAAGCACACAGCTTGGATGAGCTTCCTTTTCCAGCTTTGCCAGAGGCTTCCGAGAAGAGTGACCGGATACCACCGTCTAAGAAGCGTTCCGCGTACCCGGACCAGTCGAAAGCCTGGCATCTGCAGTGCCTCTACTCTTAGACTACGGCTTTGAATTTTGCACCAGCAAAAGAGCGTCGAATCGGTATGCCTTAGAAACTACTCGCATGGACAGAAAAACTAAACTGTAATCGCACCGAGATGACTTCATGATAGCACAGTGAAAATCAAAACAGGAAACCGCTTCCGTAACCTCCCCATTTCTCCCGCATGGTTTTTGCCACTCGCATTGGGATGAAGCGGGCACAATACTCTAGACGATACCCAGTCAGTTGTTTACGCCAGCAAGTTTATGCGGAAATCCCAACCCTGAACCCTCTGGCACCTGATCCTGAAGCGGCTCCTGCGACATCGGCTTCATGGAGCATAGGTCATAGGGTGTCTCTTGGAAGATGTTGGATTGAGGGCACAGCTTTAGGTGCTGAACTCACTGGAAGCATGAACTGTTGCATGCATGAGATCCCGCTTTCATAGGCGCGTGTGCAAGTGGCGATGCAACGTATGAGCACACGGAAGGATTAACTAGGGAACGAGTCGGTGAGAGACGGAACACATGAAGAGCAGCGATGGGATGAAGAAAAGCTGAGCACACCTCTGTATGAGCACATGAAAGAATGACTTCAACAATTCATGAGTCATAAAGTCATGGGTCTATGAATCAATGAATGAATGAACAAATGGATGAATGGATGGCTGAATGCACCGAATGGAATGAATGCAATGAATGAATTGAACGGAATGAAGGAAGGAAAGAATTCATCAGTACATGAATGAAGGAATGACTGAATGAATGAGCGACTAATAACTGAATGACTGACTGGCTACATGACTGAATGCATGCATGCATGCATCGATAAATCATGAATTAATCAACGAACGGAAGAACGAACGCATGTGTGCTTGAGACAGATAAACAGGAAACTGTTGTGCCCGGCTGGGTGGGCACACTGACAAGTGTGGGGTGCTGACTTGCATTTTGCAAGACTACCTTGCTTCCGTCCCATGCATCATTCTGCTTTGTCCTGCGTACCCAGGTATCCACGTATCGTCCTATCCTCGATCCTTGAACTGCACACATCGATTCAAAAATGAAAGCAGACGCAAATCAACATACACGTCTCCCAGAAAGCAGATTCACCACCCTCCTCCTCAACCTACCGTGGCAGATACCTTCGGTCTGAGCGAGGGTCTCAGCCTTCTGCCCCATGATCTTTCGGAAGAGGACGGGCTTATGATTTAGTAATTTAGGGTGTAGTGTAGGGTGTATAGGGTGCACGTGGAATGTTTAGGGATGGTTCAGGGATTATGACGTCCTTGCAAGTGAACCAGTAGAAGAGGCTCTTGCGGGAACCCCATTGCACCGGCTGCACCTTGCAGGGGCGGCATGTCATGACGGTCCAGTGTGTGGCAACGGCATGGAAGATAGGTCAAGACATATATATCACAAAGGCCTCCATGCAAAACTTCCTGATGAAGCAATCTGTGGCATCTATGGGTGGACTGTTTCTATAGAGGATCATAACCCCAAGGAAGACTTCCCAACACTATCACGACACTCTGGAGGATCCCATCTGGAGAGTTCCGAAAATTGGAGGTTCCCCTACGTGAACAGGAACACCCAAAAGCCACCGCACAATACTCTAAAACATCACATAGGGGCCTAGATCATCGGAATATGGTTCTGGGGTTGTTTATGCTGTATACTTCCACAAGGGCTATTCGGGACACGATTTCTGATTATTCCCACCGCTGCTACAGTACACCCGCCCTAATCTCTACACGCTGCCCCCCTACCGTGCGTCTTCCCGACCCCGTCCAACAAAAGGTAACCCTGCCCTTGAAAACCCCTCAGGCCCTCTTATGTTCATCTCTTTCCACCATTTCCGCCTACCCTCAAAAGGCCCATAACGAGGCGATATTCCTGATCTGAAGATACAGCTTTGTGCCAGCTGCCTGGTGGACCGTCTCGCTTAGCCAAACGACCGCTCGGCCACTCTTTGGGCGAAGCGTGTCCTCCCCATCAGACCCGGTTTAGAGTTAGTGTCTTGGGCATGAAGAACTCCTGCGTTTCGGAGCCAAAGGCGTTCAGGGTGAGAGTTTAGGGTTTGGGGGTGCCATACCATGCCATAAGCTTCCCTACCACACCATACCATACCACACCACACCTATCCTACCATACGTTACCATACTGCACAGCACCGTACCACACCGCACGGTCGACACAATGCCCTGCATGACATGACATTACCACTGACCATTCCACTATCGTTGCCATTACCAATCCATTCCATTGATTTGCGCTGCATTGCACTACGTTTTATCATTAGCAACAGAGGGCTGCTGTGACACCAACACATAATATATACAATGCTACCAATCCATTTCGACTGGACAATGACGACCTTCGTGTCAAGTGCGACGCAGACCCGTGCCAAGCGAACAGTGGAAACACCAGCTACTTAACAACTTCTTATCTTTAGTTGCTGAGTCCATAAGCCCCCAAAAGTGTAAACTTTCAGTTCTGTAAGGTGCAACATGATCACAAAAAGTGCAAAGTGTACTCACTCCGCTACTGCGTATCAAGCACAATGGAAAGGAGTATGAACAACCACAACATATGAAACATCATCGCATAGCAAGTCATGCTGCAGCATAACATCAGTTTCTATATTCCCACATATTCCCACATGGTCTGAAAAACTCTACATCACAGCCCTCCGCTCCTTGACCGTGTAGGCACTCTCAGGCTCTCCATCCCAGAGCCACTCTCCAGGTCCCAAGGGCAAGACGCTGCCATTAGGCCAACGCCGTGCCTTCAGCTGACAGGGGCCCTAAACCCTAAACCCTA